AAGGTCCCAGGTGATGGGTGGTGAAGAAGGATGTAATTATAAGGGTGACGAGCATTATATATTTATATTCATCTGATCTTGGCAAAAGCCAAAAAAGTATTACTATATCTATTTTAAATTTACTTTTAATTGATTTTAGAGGGGAAGGGAGAGGGAGAGAGAGAGAAACATCAATGATGAGAAAGAATCATTGATCGGCTGCCTCCTGCACGCCCCCTACTAGGGATCGAGCCTGCAACCTGGGCATGTGTCCTGACCAGGAATTGAACCATGACTTCCTGGTTTATAGGTTTGTGTGTTTTCTTAATATCACTTGTTTTATTTATTTATTTTTTATACATTTTTATTGATTTCAGAGAGGAAGGGAGAGGGAGAAAGAGAAATATCAATGATGAGAGAGAATCATTGATTAGCTGTCTCCTGCATGCCCCCTACTGGGGATCGAGCCTGCAACCTGGACTTGTGCCCTGACTGGAATCGAACCTGGGACCCTTCAGTCCGCAGGCTGATGCTCTATCCACTGAGCCAAACTGGCTAGGGCTGGTTTATAGGTTGATGCTTAACCACTGAGCCATGCTGGCCGGCCTATTATATCTATTTTAGAAATAGGTTTGGAGGAAGTAAGTGGCTTCCCGGGTAGTAGCTGGGAGGGAGCGGCTGGGGTCTGTGCCCAGGCCCCGAGTTCCTGGGCTCAGGAGTTCTAGCAGGCTGGCTGTTTTCCCTGCCCCGACGTGCCATCTGCAACGGGAGGGAGAGTGGGCCTCTCCGAGGGCCCAGGCGCTCAGCGCGGAGTGGGATGGCCTCTCCCTGACAGGCCCCAACTTCGTGATTCTAAGAAACGGCACCCAGAGACAGGCAGGAATGACGGATGCCAGGCCCACCACCCACCAACCACAGAACTCGAGCAGCCTCAAGGCTCCTTTCCAATGGACGCTCCAGGCAGCCTTTCCTAACCCTTCAGACCTGCTTGCCCCGCTCTCGGGGGGCCAGGCTTCTGCTCTCGGCCCCCAGGGAGGTGACTCTGGAGGGGGAAGCTCTCCACCATCATTTCTGTCATTTTGAGGAGGCTGGGGAGGCTGGCTCCGCCCTGCGCTTCTCCCTGCTCCCCACAGCCCGGCCCCTGCAGGCTCGGCTGCCCCCG